TACGTATAATAATAATAACAATAACCCTGGTGTTGTTCTTTCTTACTAAAGGAGTAGAGATTGTACGTAATTGTATATATATGCAGCTGTAAAGTGCCAACATGCCTTTGTGTCCTTAGGCAAGACACTTCCCCCACATTAGAATGAGTCTGGTGTCTGTGTGAGTGGTTGGTGGCGGTGGGAGGGGCCGATGGCACAGACTGGTTGCCTCACTTCTGTCAGTGTGCCCCAGGGCAGCTGTGGCTACAGCAGTTTATCACCACTGTGTTTGGAGTGACAGAATGATGATGTGAAGAGACTTTGAGCGTCCAGAAAAGCGTCATATAAAACCGATTCATTATTATTATACACATGAAAATTAAAATAAAAAAATGAGGTGGGTGTTAATGCAGATGGCTGAGTGGTTAGCACTCTCACTTCCTGGTCGGAACAGGGCCTTTATGGGTGGAGTTTGCATGTTCTCCCCGTGTCTGAGTAGGTTTCCTCTGGGTAACCGCGGCGACCCCGCTCCCATCTCTGCGTGGAGTGAGAGACAAATGCCAATAATTGTAAACCGCTTTGTGACTCTGGTCTAAGGCTGTATATACTTTATTTACTTAATCACTTACAGCGTTAGTATTATACTTGTTAATGGTCATGGGTCCCACATCAGCGAAGTGGTCATGAACCGTTCAAATCTAAAGAAATCCCAAATCCATATTGGTCATTTCCTCTTAAAGTGCATTTCGATCTAAGTCTGTTTGAGGCCACATCCTGACAGAATCTCCTCACTTCTGACACAGACCGGGCGCTCGGTGACTGTGGTTCTTCTGATCAGCGCTGGGTAAATAACTACTGACTTTTTAATCAAAGACACCGGAGCACAGGGTCCTACCTCCGCTCGCTCCGCTCCAACATCTGTGGATCCAGCTGCTCTAATCCAATCACATCCACCGTGCTCCGTCACTACATCTGCCAGGCTCCGACTTTGATCCATCTCACTGGAACACCCTGCTATAAGTGGCATTTACCTGCTCCATAAACTCCTCAAAGTTTACGGCTTCAAAGTGATGAAGGACAATAATTATGTGAAAAAGCTCAAACTCAATAATTGGCTGAAGGGAGTTTTACGGAATCGTCTCAGTGCAATCTACTGACTTTAAAACCAAGTGTGGCTCTTGTTTCGTGTTGATGTAATGAGTGAATTTCAAACAAACAGTACCAGTCAAAGTACATCTGTCATGTGACAAAATGAAATCAACCCAAAACGCAGAACTGCAAAAATTAAGTATTATGAGCCACAAGGTGGTGGTGTCTAGGAGTGTGGCTCAGTAATAAAAATAAAACCGGGTGTGGAACAGAGACGGGAGGCGGAGGTCCAAAAAGCAAATGGTGTATTAAAATAGGTGCAAAAGAACCACTGTTCAGATCACAAAACAAAATTCTCCAAAAGGGGTGAGGTACAGACACAGGACCCACTGGTCCAACGGACGGTCGAAGTGGCAGAGAGAGAGAGCCTGGTCTCGATCCCGGCCCTTTATGCCTCCCGGCTGATTACCCACAGGTGTTAGTCGGACGTCACTCAGCTGGAGGTGGGAGGGTCTGACAGGTGGAGGCAAGGAGAAACAAAATACCAAAACCAAAAGGACTTTGTCCGTAACATTAAGGATTTAATCATATAAAATACAAACATAGGGGGCGACAGTGGCTCAGTTGGTAGAGCATTGGCCTTAGAGCCTGAACCTTCTCCACCGACACCCACTGAAGACTGCTGTCGTTTTGTCCTTGGGCAAGACACTTAACTCCACTTTGCCTGAAGCCCCCACTGAAAAATATCAGCTCCTGTGGACTCACCACCTGCAGGAGGATCAGTGAGGGTCTGGAGCTCTGTGACTGAGTGGCATTTTTGACCACCCCCCCCCCCCCCCCCCCCCAACCAAGAAATGGATTAAGGGGAAGAAAATGGATGGACCATCCGGTTTTCAAGAGGAAAGAACACGCCATACAAAAGCATTGGGTAATTCTCTTTCCGGGTACACCCCCACCAGCAAGGAGGGAGATTGCATCATTTCAGCGCACAGCAAACAATTACTGACACCGAGCACCTACTAACCGACTTTTGCACCAACAGCAGTTAGAGAGTGGGAATGAGAAATGTCAACACAGAGAGACTGAAGGTAGGAGCATGAAGGGGGAGAAGGGAAGGGGGCACTGATATTACCGTCCTGGATATTGCCGTTTGATGGTCATTTCCTACATGTACGTCTGGTCTTACCATGTGTAAACTCTGGTCCATGATCATTTCCTACATGTACGTCTGGTCTTACCATGTGTAAACTCTGGTCCATGGTCATCTCCTACATGTACGTCTGGTCTTACCATGTGTAAACTCTGGTCCATGATCATTTCCTACATGTACGTCTGGTCTTACCATGTGTAAACTCTGGTCCATGGTCATTTCCTACCATGATATTTGGTTCAATCCAAATATCAAGAAACTGAAGCCGGAGCAAAGGAGATGGCTAAAGCTAGGCTAAATGCTAAAGCTAGGCTAAATGCTAAAGCTAGGCTAAATGCTAAAGCTAGGCTAAATGCTAACAACTCACTCGGGCTCATTACATACGTCACGGTAAACTCAGATCCAATCGTTTCAATCTGCAAAAGGAGTTAGCCCCTCCCACCTGTTAACGGAGCAAATCCAGACCTTAGTACGATATGAAATGAATACGATGGTATGGTAAGACCCTGTTCCACAAATAATATAGATGGTGAATACAAAGACAGACATGGACCATTGCAGACGGCTGAGGGAAGCGCACACAGAGCTTGGCGTGCCTCCTGGTCCAGACCTGGGCAGCAGAGCGTCTGTCAGGGCACGAGTCCAAACTACAGCCCAATCAGGCCATGTGCCATTTTTGGGCAAATTTGGCCCCAAGCTGTCGGGCTCAAGAAAGGCCTGGCACGCGGCAGTAGGCAGCCCGGGATGTAGTACAGAAACACAATGCGAGTAAATATAGATGGCGGAGAGGTGGGGAGATGAAGCAGCTTTCCCGGATCTTCCTCTGTGAGCCGCGGTTTGGCGTCTTACCGTTGGAAAACTGGAATTCAGACATTTCAGAGACTGCACAGCGTCTGTCTCCTCCTCTCTCGTGTGCTGCCTTCACTCTCATCTTTTCTGTGTCGGATCACGGACGGATGGAGGAAAATGGTTGCAACTGTGAGGTTTCTATTCAAATATCAAGAAAGAGAAACCTTTATGCAGTGCACCTTTACCTTTACTATTCAAATTGAGAAGATATTGCACTAATTGAACGAATTGTAGTTAACAGATGATAACTTGTCGTCGTCATAAAAGATTTCTTTGGTTGTTACAGACTATTGGTCACTTGGTGGACTTTCGGAGTGGAGTTTGCATGTTCTACCCGTGTTTGCTAGGGTTTCCCCCAGATACTTCAGTTTCCCCAACCACTAAAACATGTACAATAGGTCTGGCATCCAGCACCTGGCGCCCCCTCGCTGTGTGGAGGGAGAGACTTCTGCCTGCAACTGTGAACTGTGTGACCCAGGTCTGCACTGCAAAAGATGACAGAATTAAAGACAAAAAAATGCTCAAATTTGGCTAAATGTATCTAAATATGAGCACATTTTGACTGCCTTAAAACAAGATTTTCCGGTGGAACAAGAAAAATTGTCTTGTTTTAAAAAGACACAAGATATTTTTCTCTTGGAATGAGAAAATAAAGCAATAGTTCTTGAATCAAGTCAAAATTGCTTGTCTCATTGGCAAATCTCATTTTAAGACAGTCAGAGTGAACTTAAGTCAAGTTAAAAAAAATTTGATTCTAGCAATTATGATCTCATATTTGATCATTTTTTTTTTTTTTTTTTTTTTTTATGTTTATGTTTATTGTTCATGCAATTTTTTCATAATCAGTTTGCAGTTGACACATTCATACATGCTTTTACCTGAACAAAAGGAACAGAAAGAAGATAAATCTTGTATATCCTGTCCTTTGTACAAAAACAATAAAATAAAATAAGGAAAGCAAATTGAATTTCCCAATTTAAACCCCAAACACCAAAAACCCAAGTCACCAATTGCACACACGCATCAACAGTCCTCAATGTCTCACATTTCGTCAGATACAATCCTCTTTTTTAACCTAGATTATATTCATTCAACATTTTTTTTTTTTTTGCAGTGTGTGAAGGGCGCTTTATTACTCACTTACTGAATATTACAATCCTCTCAGACTAAAACACTAAAACACCCATTATTTGATCGTTGGATTGACAGTTGGACCAGAGCTTTCCTTTAGTGCTGAGTCAAACAGTTTCACACAGTTTCATTATGATTATAATTAAAAACAGAACAATGCAGGTTTTCCAGGATGGATTTATCGACGTCAGGAACTGGCTGTAAAGTGTTGGTTATTGTCGCGTGACAGGTTTTGTGTTGGCATCAATCAGATTTTTCACCTTTTGCAAATCAGAGTTTTGAAATAAACGAACAATAACTTTATAATAAATTAGATAACATAAAAACAATATCAAAGAAACAAGTAAAACATCTCTATCATTAGCAGAATAAGAAGCAAGATTAAAGTACTGTGTATTCTAGTGCAGTAATATATAGTAGTATGTTAGCATCTGTACATTAGCAGCAGTATGTTTACATCTGTACATTAGCAGCAGTATGTTTACATCTGTACATTAGCAGCAGTATGTTTACATCTGTACATTAGCAGCAGTATGTTTACATCTGTACATTAGCAGCAGTATGTTTACATCTGTACATTAGCAGCAGTATGTTTACATCTGTACATTAGCAGCAGTATGTTTACATCTGTACATTAGCAGCAGTATGTTTACATCTGTACATTAGCAGCAGTATGTTTACATCTGTACATTAGCAGCAGTATGTGGTATCTAGTGTCACCATGGACAGGAGACACAATCCTTGGCATTCATCTTTCAGCTATAGATACTGTCAAACGGCTATTTTAAACCAGGGGTCACACTCAATCTGAGCAGGTCTGAGGCGGGTCTGAGGCGGGTCTGAGCAGGTCTGAGGCGGGTCTGAGGCGGGTCTGAGGCGGGTCTGAGCAGGTCTGAGGCGGGTCTGAGGCGGGTCTGAGGCGGGTCTGAGGCGGGTCTGAGGCGGGTCTGAGCAGGTCTGAGGCGGGTCTGAGGCGGGTCTGAGGCGGGTCTGAGGCGGGTCTGAGCAGGTCTGAGGCGGGTCTGAGCAGGTCTGAGGCAGGTCTGAGCAGGTCTGAGGCGGGTCTGAGCAGGTCTGAGGCGGGTCTGAGGCGGGTCTGAGGCGGGTCTGAGCAGGTCTGAGCAGGTCTGAGGCGGGTCTGAGGCGGGTCTGAGCAGGTCTGAGGCGGGTCTGAGCAGGTCTGAGGCGGGTCTGAGGCGGGTCTGAGCAGGTCTGAGGCGGGTCTGAGGCGGGTCTGAGCAGGTCTGAGGCGGGTCTGAGCAGGTCTGAGGCGGGTCTGAGCAGGTCTGAGCAGGTCTGAGGCGGGTCTGAGCAGGTCTGAGGCGGGTCTGAGGCGGGTCTGAGCAGGTCTGAGGCGGGTCTGAGCAGGTCTGAGGCGGGTCTGAGGCGGGTCTGAGGCGGGTCTGAGGCGGGTCTGAGCAGGTCTGAGGCGGGTCTGAGCAGGTCTGAGGCAGGTCTGAGCAGGTCTGAGGCGGGTCTGAGCAGGTCTGAGGCGGGTCTGAGGCGGGTCTGAGGCGGGTCTGAGCAGGTCTGAGCAGGTCTGAGGCGGGTCTGAGGCGGGTCTGAGCAGGTCTGAGGCGGGTCTGAGCAGGTCTGAGGCGGGTCTGAGGCGGGTCTGAGCAGGTCTGAGGCGGTCTGAGGGGGTCGAGAGGTCTGAGGCGGGTCTGAGCAGGTCTGAGGCGGGTCTGAGCAGGTCTGAGCAGGTCTGAGGCGGGTCTGAGCAGGTCTGAGGCGGTCTGAGGCGGGTCTGAGCAGGTCTGAGGCGGGTGAGCTGAGGCGGGTCTGAGGCGGGTCTGAGGCGGTCTGAGGCGGGTCTGAGCAGGTCTGAGGCGGGTCTGAGCAGGTCTGAGGCGGGTCTGAGCAGGTCTGAGGCGGGTCTGAGGCGGGTCTGAGGCGGGTCTGAGGCGGGTCTGAGCAGGTCTGAGGCGGGTCTGAGCAGGTCTGAGGAGGTCTGGCAGGTCTGAGGCGGGTCTGAGCAGGTCTGAGGCGGGTCTGAGGCGGGTCTGAGGCGGGTTGAGGGGTCTGAGCGGTCTGAGCAGGTCTGAGGCGGGTCTGAGCAGGTCTGAGCGGGTCTGAGCGGTCTGAGCAGGTCTGAGGGGGTCTGAGGTCTGAGGCGGTCTGAGGCGGGTCTGAGCAGGTCTGAGGCGGGTCTGAGCGGGTCTGAGGCGGGTCTGAGGCGGGTCTGAGCGGTCTGAGCGGGTGCGGTCTGAGGCGGTCTGAGCAGGTCTGAGGCAGGTCTGAGCAGGTCTGAGGCGGGTCTGAGCAGGTCTGAGGCGGGTCTGAGGCGGTCTGAGGCGGGTCTGAGCGTCTGAGGCGGGTCTGAGCAGGTCTGGGCGGGTCTGAGGCGGGTCTGAGCGGTCTGAGGCGGGTCTGAGCAGGTCTGAGGCGGCTGAGGCGGTCTGAGGTCTGGCGAGGTCTGAGGCGGGTCTGAGCAGGCTGAGGCGGGTCTGAGCAGGTCTGAGGCGGTCTGGGAGGGAGGCTGAGGCGGGTCTGAGCAGTCTGACGGGTCTGAGGCGGGTCTGAGCAGGTCTGAGGGTCTAGGGTCTGAGGCGGGTCTGAGCAGGTCTGAGGCGGCAGGTCTGAGGCGGTCTGAGGCGGTCTGAGGCAGGTCTGAGCAGGTCTTGAGGCGGTCTGAGCAGGTCTGAGGGGTCTGAGGCTAGGGGGTCTGAGCAGTCTGAGCAGGTCTGAGGCGGGTCTGAGCAGGTCTGAGGCGGGTCTGAGCAGGTCTGAGCAGGTCTGAGGCGGGTCTGAGAGGTCTGAGGGGTCTGAGCAGGTCTGAGGCGGGTCTGAGCAGGTCTGAGGCGGTCTGGAGGCGGGTCTGAGCGGTCTGAGCAGGTCTGAGGCGGGTCTGAGCAGGTCTGAGGCAGGTCGAGCAGGTCTGAGGCAGGTCTGAGGCAGGTCTGAGGCGGGTCTGAGCAGGTCTGAGGCGGGTCTGAGCAGGTCTGAGCAGGTCTGAGGCGGGTCTGAGCAGGTCTGAGGCGGGTCTGAGCAGGTCTGAGCAGGTCTGAGGCGGGTCTGAGCAGGTCTGAGGCGGGTCTGAGCAGGTCTGAGGCGGGTCTGAGCAGGTCTGAGCAGGTCTGAGGCGGGTCTGAGCAGGTCTGAGCAGGTCTGAGGCGGGTCTGAGCAGGTCTGAGCAGGTCTGAGGCGGGTCTGAGCAGGTCTGAGCAGGTCTGAGCAGGTCTGAGGCGGGTCTGAGCGGTGCCTGTATCGCGGCGGGATCGCAGGTGATCCGTCATGGCCGACAGGTGTTTTGTATGCTGTTCCCGCTCTTCCCACAACAACATCTGCTCCCTGCACAGCCACAGCCGCAGCCACAGCCGCAGCCACAGCCACACATTCAGGCCACCAGTGTAATGTGTCTGTGTGTGGCTCCTGGGAAAGATACACTTCATCTCACTTAAGGACTACACAACTGAGGACAATGGTGACAATTAGCTTCAGAGCAGCACCATGAGTGAGAAGGCAAACTTAAATACCATGTGGGTTATTCAAGAGGTACTTTTAGTTATGTTTTAAGTTCTTGTGTAATTTTAAAGTTGTAATGGTTTTAATTCTTAATGGTGATTCTGGTGTTTTAGGTGATCATTTGTGTGATGTGGTCTGTGAAGCGCTTTGTGTTGCCCTGAGTATGTAAGTAGTATGTAAGTAATGTTTATTTATATAGCGCATTTTACAGACCAAGGTACAGACCCAAAGCACTTTACAAAGTTCAGAGTCAGATATTGTTCCAATCCTTCCACACACGGTGATGACAGAAGCGAGTCCAGAACACACTGGACCATCAAAGCCTCTGACCCAACACCATCCATTCACTCTCTCATTTACATTCAGACCTATTGTGCATATTTTTAGTGGTAGGGGAAACCGGAGCACCTGGAGGAAACCTACACAGACACGGGGAGAACATTCAAACGCCACTCAGAAAGGCTCTGTTCTGACCGGGATTCGAACCCAGGACGTTCTTGCTGAGAAGTGAGAGTGCTAACCACTCAGCCACCGTGCCGCCCGGTATGAAAGGCGCTCTACAAATACTCAAGATATTTAGCAGTTGAAATAGGGACATAAAAATCACCAACACAGATCAGAGAATCAACAGTTAGAACACATGAAGAATTTAAACAATTTAAACAACATTGAATATACAAACTTAAAGTTGCCTGGGGACTGCTTTGGGAATCACACCAACTCATCTCTAATCCAGTCCATTTTATTTATTTAGCACATTTTATAAAAAACAAGTTTCTGAAGTGCACAAAAAATTAACACATCTAAAAAAATCAAGTTTGCAAGCCTTATGTTTAGAAAAAATAGAAGTTCAATATTAAGCACAAAGGAAAAAGAATACACATGTAATAAAAACAATACAATACTACTAATGCGATAAGAAAAAATAAAAAATAAAAAGATAAAACAAATAAAACAGAGGACCACAGCACTCACACGGTGTTAAAATCCACAGAATAAAAATGCGTTTTAAGATTAGATTTAAAACGTTCCAACGATGGAGAAGTTTTTAAATGGGGGGGGGGGGGCTTGTCCCCGGGTTTTAAGTCTGGTCTTTGTCCCCACGAGCTGGATCTGGGCCTCGGACCTCAGCGCTCGGGGCGGGTGAAACATTTGAATGAGGTCCGAGACAGAAGGAGAGGCCAGTCCGTTCGAAGCGTTAAAAACATACAATACAATCTTAAAATCAATTCTAAAATGTACAGGAAGCCAGTGCAAAGAAGCTAAAATCAGATGCTGGACAACGGTCGCTCACTTTCTTCCGCTTTATCTGGAGCCTGGTTGCCGAGGCTGCGGTCTTCCACCATCAACAAGTTCCTTCTGGCCCCATGAAGCCCGTCATTTATCACTATATCCAGTTATGTTTATGTTTGATGGGGTTTATGATGTTTAAACCCCGTCAACTATTACCCATACATACAAAAATAGGGCAGTCATTTCCTGGGCAACATCGCTTCGAGGATCATCCGCACACCCACAATCCAGTCAAAATGGCCGCCGCAGAGGATGCTCATTGTCTACAGAACACAGCAGCAGAAGTAGAAGCGACCGCAGCTGGCCTCTTTTCTTGTTCAATGCCATTTTTTTCCCCCGCACAGTTCTGAAAGATTGAAAATACGACAGAACCAACTTCTCGCAAATTTCTCAACATTAAGAAATAAATAAACATATTTCTCATAATGTGGATTTTATGTTTTATATGAACCTGAAACACACATATCGGCAAAATAGACCCTATGTGTCAAATACATTATCTATGGTTATATTAAAATAATAAATGTGATCCACTGGAAACAATGGTCATTGGTTTTGTTTTATAGTGTCTCCATCGACTCTCTCTGCTGCTGTTGTGTCCTTGGGCAAGACACTCAACCTCTGGGAACAGCAGGTGCCACAGTGCGGCGGCTGCGGCTGTAAAGTGCCAAACTGCCGTTGTGTCCTTAGGCAAGACACTTCCCCCACATTAGAATGAGTCTGGTGTGTGTGTGAATGGTTGGTGGTGGTGGGAGGGGCTGATGGAACAGACTGGTTGCCTCGCTTCTGTCAGTGTGCCCCAGGGCAGCTGTGGCTACAGTAGTAGTTTATCACCATCGTGTATGGAGTGAATAAAAAATGTCATGATGTATAAAACCAATGCCTTATTTAATTCTGGTGAGACCAATTCACCTCCAATCAATTTTTTTATTTCATGTTACCATAGATGGGATAACTTAGCCCTCTCGCTTCCCAGCAAGAAGGTCCTGGGTTTGAATCCCGATCGGAACAGGGCCTTTCTGAGTGGAGTTTGCCTGTTCTCCCCGTGTCTGCGTAGGTTTCCTCCAGGTGCTCCGGTTTTCCCTACCACTAAAAACATGTGCAATAGGTCTGTGGCTCCTGTACTGGCCCCGCTCCCATCTCTGTGTGGACTGAGAGTGTCATGGTGTGGATTTATTTTTTTTATATTTTGTAATTGGTTTTCTGTGGTTCGGTTTTAGTTTTGCTTATGTACCCTGTGCTTCTCTCCCCTTGTTGCTAATCCATTGTATTGTCAACGTCTGTCTTGTTTGTTCATGTCTTCAGTCTGTTCCTGGTTATTTTGGTTTTTGAAGTTCTGTTTTTTACCTTGGACTTTATTTTATTAAATCATTATGAAGAAGATGACATGTCTGGGATCGCGTCTTAAATTCAGACAGAAGACATGTTTTATTGTCGATGGTAGAGACAACACGAACAACACGAACAACAGAATGCACGTGTATTATACAGAGCGGAGACATGGAGACCTCCAATCAGCAGCTGCCACAGTGCCATGTAGCTTGGCCTTCAGATAGACAAAACAAGGGAAAAGTACTGGCTTCTGCACACTGATAGAATGATGAGTTTAACTTTAACAAAAGTTGCTTAAAAGTGTTATGAAATCTCACAATTAGATTTACAATTTTGGCATTCTTGCATTTTGAGTGCTCCTCCTTCCCACCACGTGACAGAGAGACTAATGTCCACAATTGTAAACCGCTTTGACTCTGGTCTGAGATAAACATTACTTACTTCATAAACTGTGCATTCATCAGAGGAAGTCAAATCATCGTTTTAAGTTTCGTGCTGACCTGAAAAACCAGTCAAGGACATCTCCATCCGTTTGTGTAGAGTCTGCTCTCTTTAAACCGGAGAAGAAGAAATGGAGTTGAATGCGGTGCAGTTAAACGTGTGTGGAGCGGCGCCCTGATGCCCTCCTTGGCCTGAATCTGCAGAGTCTAATTACGGCGTCTACCGTTTGTAGGTCACACCTGGTGTCATGGCGCCACACATTACCCGTGTAATGTGGTCCTTTTAACGGGGTTTTCACTGCAGACAGTTCAAGTTAAAAATGAAGATTGGCACAGGCTGCAGGGGGATCTAAATGATGTCTGCAGGAGGGAAAAGGCTGTTTTATATCTGTGCAGTTTAAGCTATTCCAGTTATTATTATTATATTAAAGTTATGATATTTACGCATAAATGATGGCTGTAATACAAACACATGTTGTTTTATCCTATTTAAGGTTCTATAGTATAGATCAGCCATTCCCTAATGTCAGTAGTAAACACCGAGAGGCCCCCTTAATGATCTGAAAGGTCTCGGCGGGGCCCCCCAAAATCATAACCAATTTACAACATTCAAAAGGATATTCCTGTTATTTATTTCGGGACATAGCCTTCTGCTAAATAACATTGTAATACAAAAATGATTACAGTGGCTTATTCAAGTCAAATAATGAACACAAATATTTTAATATTACAAACAAAACATTATACATTTAACATTAAATAATTATATTTTTTTTTATTTTTTTTATGACCTCCCGCGGCCCCCCTGCAGTACCCTCGCGGCCCATCAGGGGGCCGCGTACCCCACTTTGGGAACCACTGGTATAGATAGATAAATAGATCTCACACTGTGTACTTGAATTATTGTCTGTGAGACACTAGAACAATGTCACTTTACGACTTATAAGCCTGCCCTATATGTACAGTATATAACGCTGCACTACTACTTATTATTTTTTTGACCGGTATTGAAGCATTTACAGCATCTACAGCTAGTAAAGCTAGTTAAGAAACATAGCTACTTCTTATTTTGTATTTTGTATATTTTGTGTGCTCCCTTTGTCTCTTACTACTGTCCTGTCTGTGCGCTGCAATATCGAAATTTCCCATATGTGGAACGAATAAAGGATCTCTCATCTTATCTTATCATAGACCACTAATTAAAGAGGCAATATGTAAACATGTGGCCAAAAGTGGTACTGCAGCCTCTCCCACTCTCCCTGACTCAGGTTGCCAGATATGCAGACGAATCCAGCTGGGACCATAACAGCTGAATAGACAAGAGTTTTGTCAACAACAAATCTATAACCAACACTTTTTTCACAAAGATAGAAATCCTGGTTTTATTCCTTGTTTTGTCGTAAAATGATTTGAGACTTTCTGATTGGTGAAATGGTAGAGAGCGGACATCAAAATGAAAACAATAACAAGATTTAGGGGCTGGAAAACTAATCCTGAAATTGGTTGGTTTTGTATTTAATTACTTCCCATAACTTGCAAAGCGTTTGGAATTCACTATAAAAAGTTACATTGATGGAAAAACAGTGTCTGCTTTAAGTAAAAACACCCAGACCTTTATACATACAAACAACTACAGAAGGAGGTGGAGTCAGTCAGTGAACATTCAACAGCTGACTGCAGTCTGTCACATCGATCATGATCCAGTTTTGACTTAGCCTGGTCTTATCCATCCGTACCCTCCGCTCAATCATCATGTCCTGCATGTAACGTCTGGGTCTGATCCCTGTGTTTGTTATTATAATCGGTTGAATTCCATCCGACCAATCAGAGAGCGCGGGAGGCGGGTGTTGTAGTTAGTTGTGGGTGACGTCAAGAGTTTGCGTCGAACGGGAAGGTTGTAGTTTGGAAAAAAATGCAATATTCCGGTTCTGGTTCTATCAAGAAATTAAAGCCGGAGCAAGAGGAATGTTTAGCAAATGTAATCGCTGGAAAAAATTGTGGCGCTACTCCCCACGGGCTCCGTTAGCGGCAAAGGAGATGGCTAAAGCTAGGCTAAATGCTAAATGCTATCGACTCACTCGGGCTCATTGCATACGTCACAGTGAACTCAGATCCAATGGTTTCAATCTGCAAAAGGAGTTAGCCCCTCCCACCTGTTAACGGAGTCAATGGAGCAAATCCAGACCTTAGTACGAAGTGTAATTTGTACTATGGTGTGGTACGACCAGGCTAGTTTTGACCATTCCTCTTCACAAAACGGCTGCAGTTTTGCCATATTCCTGGTATATATACGCTACACTTTTCTGTCTTTAGACCATACCACAGCCTCTCAATGGGGTTCAAGTTTGGGCTTTAACTTGGCCGTTCCAGAAAGTATATTTAGTTCTGAAACCATTCTAAAGTGTGTGTTTCGGATCCTTGTCGTGCTGCTTCATCGATCCTAATTCCAGCTTCAACTGACTTCCAAATCGCCTCAGTTTCCTGCAGCACATCCAGATGGACTTTTCATTTCTCCATCAATGATTGAAGTTGATCAGGCCCTGAATCAGCAAAACATCCCCAAAACTTGACGCTCCCTCTTCCATCTTCCATCTTCACTGAGTTTTGATTTGAGCTGTCCCTTCTTTCCTGCATACATAACGTCGTGTGCTTATTTACAGATAAAACTTGCAGTATTTTTCACATTTGGCAGTTGTGGTCACAGAGATATTGGACTGTGTCAGTGATTTCTGTAAGTCTTTCGCAGACACTTTAGGCTTCTTTGTCACTTCTTGGAGTATTCTGCGCTGAACTCTTGGCATCATTTTTGGTGGAGAAGCAACGATGCCAAAGTCTCTCCATTTGTCGACAGTTTCTCTCACTGGGGATCAATGAACACATTTACAGATATTTTTGTAACCTTTCCCAGCTTCATACAAATCTCGATCGCAGGTCTTCAGAGAGTTCTTATGACCCAATTCTCATCGGGAGTGTGTTTTATAGTGGGCAGAGCAGATTTCAGCCACTGTGATTGCACTTTACCCAATAGGCAGAAAGTTAAATGACTTAATCTTAACCCTTCTGTCATTGTTTGCATGTTATCCTCACTAAAAAATTTGACAACCTATAAATGCTTTGGGTTGTTTTAATTTAAGCGGTCATTGTTTTTTTTTTTTTTTATCTCTGTGATTATGTAAAAGAACATAATCACATTTGATGGAGTTTTTATAGAGCCGCAAAACTGTCCATGCGCTGTCATGCTGCAATCTCACTCCTTGGTGGTGGGGGTGTACCCGGAAAGAGAATTACCCAATGCTTTCGTATGGCATCTTCTTTCCCCTCGTAAATGTCTGTACAGGATGGTCCGAAAGTGGCTCTTGGTCCAAAAGTGGCTCATGGTCCAAAAGTGGCTCATGGTCCAAAAGTGGCTCATGGTCCAAAAGTGGCTCTTGGTCCAAAAGTGGTTCTTGGTCCAAAAGTGGCTCATGGTCCAAAAGTGGTTCTTGGTCCAAAAGTGGCTCTTGGTCCAAAAGTGGCTCATGGTCCAAAAGTGGTTCTTGGTCCAAAAGTGGCTCTTGGTCCCAGATGCTGTCAATGCTGAGGGGTGTGTATTTTTGGACCAGTCTAGTTTAGCCGTTGTGGACTTTTGAATGCACTAATTAAATGAATGGCGCTAGTGCAGCTAACACATGCACCAATGCCTTTTTCCAAATGTTCACTCCCCGCTGCCATTTTGAAAAAGCTCACAGAAGACAAAAGTTATGACACATTAGCTTGAACGGCGTCACTACGTTAATATTTACAGTCTATGGCAACATCAGCGGTAATGCATAATACAAAGTGATGCGTTATGCTAGAATTAGATGTTTCACTGCCTAATGCAAGACAAAGCTTGACAGATACATAAACAGGGCAAGTTGTCCACACAAATCATGGGATCCAAAGGTGAGCAAGCTTAGCTAAATGGACGGCTCTACCCACTGCCATCCACCCACTCCCCTGACGCCCCCGCTTTCCTTCACAGGGAGAGTCCAGCCTGGAGCCCACGGCGGTAGAAATGAAGGGCTGTTAAATATTTCTGTCATACGGGTGTCGGAGCTGGATTTGAGCAGACATGGATCCTCCTGTGGGGAAAATAGTGCAATGCTTAAACACCTTCACAACCAATTTTAATCAAGCGTTCTTAAGGGATGGACAGATCTAGGACAGGAAACATGTGCGGAGAGCTGTTGTGACTGAAATCACCACAGCAGTCATCTCGGAAGACATTACAAAGTTGTTGAATCCATAGATAGATACAGTACATGTAGACGGTGGATGACCAATGTCCATAAATGTAAAAAATGATATCCGTTGTTATTTTCCTGTTATGGCTGATTACCGATATTTGCCAATATCAATATGTGTTCTGTAAAAAAAAAAAAATTGAGATGATAAAAGTTTGTACATAATGAATTTCTTCCTCTATATTCAGAATGTATTTTTCTTCTCCAAATACCAAGGTTACAGGGCTACCATAACACATATGTAACCAACTTTTACCACTTATCAAGCATGCCAGTATCCATGGCAACGTGATGATTTTGTCCTAAGAAAAGATAAGACAGATATTTGTGTATTGTGTATATTGTACTTTAGCAGCAGAGAATATGAGCAGAATGAACAATAGTTACAATATGGGTATACGCAGTGACACGTGACTTCCTCTGCTTCATTCCTGTCACAGTCTGGTCAGTCTCTGTGTCTCTGTGGACATCAGCTCTAATCCCCACAGCATGGTCAGTCTCCGGGTGTCTCTGTGGACATCAGCTCTAATCCCCACAGTCTGGTCAGTCCCCGGGTCTCTGTGGACATCAGCTCTAATCCCCACAGTCTGGTCAGTCGCCGGGTCTCTGTGGACATCAGCTCTAATCCCCACAGTCTGGTCAGTCTCCGGGTGTCTGTGGACATCAGCTCTAATCCCCACAGTCTGGTCAGTCTCCGGTGTCTGTGGACATCAGCTCTAATCCCCACAGTCTGGTCAGTCTCCGGGTGTCTGTGGACATCAGCTCTAATCCCCACAGTCTGGTCAGTCTCCGGGTTTCTCTGGACATCAGCTCTAATCCCCACAGTCTGGTCAGTCTCCGGGTGTCTGTGGACATTAGCTCTAATCCCCACAGTCTGGTCAGTCCCCGGGTCTCTGTGGACATCAGCTCTAATCCCCACAGTCTGGTCAGTCTCCGGGTGTCTGTGGACATCAGCTCTAATCCCCACAGTCTGGTCCGTCTCCTGGTCTCTGTGGACATCAGCTCTAATCCCCACAGTCTGGTCAGTCGCCGGGTGTCTGTGGACATCAGCTCTAATCCCCACAGTCTGGTTAGTCTCCGGGTCTCTGTGGACATCAGCTCTAATCCCCACAGTCTGGTCAGTCGCCGGGTCTCTGTGGACATCAGCTCTAATCCCCACAGTCTGGTCAGTCTCCGGGTCTCTGTGGACATCAGCTCTAATCCCCACAGTCTGGTCAGTCCCTGGGTCTCTGTGGACATCAACTCTAATCCCCACAGTCTGGTCAGTCTCCGGGTCTCTGTGGACATCAGCTCTAATCCCCACAGTCTGGTCAGTCTCCGGGTTTCTCTGGACATCAGCTCTAATCCCCACAGTCTGGTCAGTCTCCGGTTGTCTGTGGACATCAGCTCTAATCCCCACAGTCTGGTCAGTCTCCGGGTTTCTCTGGACATCAGCTCTAATCCCCACAGTCTGGTCAGTCTCCGGGTGTCTGTGGACATTAGCTCTAATCCCCACAGTCTGGTCAGTCCCCGGGTCTTTGTGGACATCAGCTCTAATCCCCACAGTCTGGTCAGTCTCCGGGTGTCTGTGGACATCAGCTCTAATCCCCACAGTCTGGTCCGTCTCCTGGTCCTCTGTGGACATCAGCTCTAATCCCCACAGTCTGGTCAGTCGCCGGGTGTCTGTGGACATCAGCTCTAATCCCCACAGTCTGGTTAGTCTCCGGGTCTCTGTGGACATCAGCTCTAATCCCCACAGTCTGGTCAGTCGCCGGGTCTCTGTGGACATCAGCTCTAATCCCCACAGTCTGGTCAGTCTCCGGGTCTCTGTGGACATCAGCTCTAATCCCCACAGTCTGGTCAGTCCCTGGGTCTCTGTGGACATCAACTCTAATCCCCACAGTCTGGTCAGTCTCCGGGTCTCTGTGGACATCAGCTCTAATCCCCACAGTCTGGTCAGTCTCCGGGTGTCTGTGGACATCAGCTCTAATCCCCACAGTCTGGTCAGTCTCCGGGTTTCTCTGGACATCAGCTCTAATCCCCACAGTCTGGTCAGTCTCCGGGTGTCTGTGGACATCAGCTCTAATCCCCACAGTCTGGTCCGTCTCCTGGTCTCTGTGGACATCAGCTCTAATCCCCACAGTCTGGTCAGTCGCCGGGTGTCTGTGGACATCAGCTCTAATCCCCACAGTCTGGTTAGTCTCCGGGTCTCTGTGGACATCAGCTCTAATCCCCACAGTCTGGTCAGTCGCCGGGTCTCTGTGGACATCAGCTCTAATCCCCACAGTCTGGTCAGTCTCCGGGTCTCTGTGGACATCAGCTCTAATCCCCACAGTCTGGTCAGTCCCTGGGTCTCTGTGGACATCAACTCTAATCCCCACAGTCTGGTCAGTCTCCGGGTCTCTGTGGACATCAGCTCTAATCCCCACAGTCTGGTCAGTCTCCGGGTGTCTGTGGACATCAGCTCTAATCCCCACAGTCTGGTCAGTCTCCGGGTTTCTCTGGACATCAGCTCTAATCCCCACAGTCTGGTCAGTCTCCGGGTGTCTGTGGACATCAGCTCTAATCCCCACAGTCTGGTCCGTCTCCTGGTCTCTGTGGACATCAGCTCTAATCCCCACAGTCTGGTCAGTCTCCGGGTGTCTGTGGACATCAGCTCTAATCTCCACAGTCTGGTCAGTCGCCGGGTCTCTGTGGACATCAGCTCTAATCCCCACAGCCTGATTTGTTACAAGGTTAAATCAAGTCAATCCCACTGTATTATAAGGTTAATTATAGTCAAAATAGATTTCCCTTAAAGGTTGTTGTTTTTGTTCACTGCACATTCAGCCTGTTTCAGTCTTTGTTTTGCTTCCTCTCTGCTTTTCCACCGTTTCCTTTTGGTCCAAATTTGTTTTCCATTCATAACAAATACAGGAGGTATTTACAGCTGCATTTACACCACCACCAGCAGCAGACATTCATGTCCCTGTCCCTATGAAGTGATCCTGGCTTTAAAAACTCATCTGGTCCCCTGTAAGAAAGTAAGTACGTTTTTATTTATATACCGCCTTTTCACTGCAGATCTAAGTCTCAAAGCGGTTTACAATTGTTAATTTTGGGCATTTGTCTCTCACTCCACACAGAGATGGGAGCGGGGCCAGTACAGGAAGCGCATGCCAGAACTATTGGACATATTTTTAGTGGTAGGGGAAACCGGAGTACCCGGAGGAAACCTACGCAGACACGGGGAGAACATGCAAACTCCACTCAGAAAGGCCCTGGTCCGACCGGGATTCGAACCCAGGACCTTCTTGCTGAGAGGCGAGAGTGCTATCCACTCAGCCACTGTGCCCCTGTGGCTGCAGGTAACTCTCGGATCCTTGTGCAGACGGTTCCTCAGATGGTGCTTCCTTGGCTTCCTATCTACATGCTGCTATATTTTAATTGTTTAATCTTTTTTACTAATAATGATAATAATACTGCATTGGTTTTATATGCCGCTTTTCAGGACACTCAAAGACTCTTCACTGTCATTATTCTTTCACTCTAAACACGTTGGTGATAAACTACTACTGTAGCCACAGCTGCCCTGGGGCACACTGACAGAAGCGAGGCAACCAGTGGTATCTATCCACCACCAACCATTCACACACACACACACACACACACACACTAGACTCACGCTCATGTGGGTGAAGTATCTTGCCTAAAGCCTAGCGTACATCGACAGAGTAACTGGAGACAGCTAGTTTCCAGGCGGCTTTTGGCGACTGAGAGGAGATGATGGAGATGATCAGTTGAAATCAGTCGATGTGAGCGCTCTTACAACTGGAGATAAACAGTCGATCTCCGGATTCAGTCAGTTGCCCGTGTTCTACTTTTCGGCAACTAGTTGTCCTCAGATCCGGAGATATCACCGATGTGCTCCAACATGTGTGTATTGTGTGTATTGCGCCCTCTACAGTTTATGTCAGAAAACACACTGTAGTTGAGGCCAGTTGCTGTTATTCCTGAGACTGGCTTGATACTGGAGTTGCCCGTTTTTGCCACATTGTCGATGTGTGCGGGGCAGCAACTCATAGGCCACGGATATAATCAGTTGCCAGTCCTATGTACGCTAGGCATTAGGACACAACCACAATTTGGCACTTTACAGCCGCCCCACTGTGGTACCTGCTGTTCCCAGAGGTCTCCCATCACAGTACTAACTAGGCTCTGCCCTGCTTAGCTTCAGAGTTCTGCAGCATGGCCACATTTCTGCTGCAGTGTGAGTGTGTATTGATAGATGCATGTCTGGGCTGTTGTTTGGCTCTGGTGGGTTGTTAATGATCCGGAACACACTTTGTGTCACACTTTTTGTATGAAAAGCACTTTATAAACAAAGACTGATTGATTTGTTTGTTAAAATGTGCTTTGGAAAACCTGTCGTTTGCCGAGATCAGCAGCAGAGACGTGATATACAGGCCTGTCGTAGAGAGCCAAATACACTCAGCTTTAAATGACCCCTGCAGGAAGAAACACACGATCTCCTTATTTTTCTAACCCTCTCGGTGCCACGGAAGACAACTCTTTTCAATACTTTATTTACAAAACTTCATAGTCATACAAGTTTTAAACATTGTATTTTTAAAGTTGGTTGGTGTTCTGTAACAGGAACTCCCAGGAAGCTGCAATAACTTAAGTCGATTATGCGGTAATGTTTAAAATGACCAAGTGTGGAAAGCAGGTGTTAAAATTCATTCAAACTCCCACCACACAATTATTTTTACTGTTTTACTAGACCAGCAGGGACTGAACACCAGCAGGGACTGAAGACCAGCAGGGACTGAACACCAGCAGGGACTGAACACCAGCAGGGACTGAAGACCAGCAGGGACTGAACACCAGCAGGGACTGAAGACCAGCAGGGACTGAACACGAGCAGGGACTGAACACCAGCAGGGACTGAACACCAGCACTGCCTCCTACATATAACAGCATGAGAGAGAGAACCACTCCCTGAGGAACTCCATCAGGGACTGAAGGAGTCAGAGAGAGCCTCCCCCACTTCATCTTCACAGTCTGCTCCGAACACCGCAAAACAAGAAGTCTGATCAGATAACCAGGAACTCCACGCTTTGACAGTTTCCACAACAATTCATCATATTCAATTCTGTCAAAAGCCTTGGATGCATCGAAAAAAACACAGGAGCTGAGATCTTTCAGTTGGGGCTTCAGGCAAAGTGGGGTTAAGTGTCTTGCCCAAGGACACGACAGCAGTCACCAGTGGGAGTCATGAAGTAGGTCTTGTGGTGGGCTCGAACCTTCAGGCCCAACTGAGCTACTGTCGCCCTTCTTGCTGTATTTGCCTAATGGAATCAACGCTTGGTTAGCCGAGTCTGGCACATTTTCGTGAGTAAGCACACAAGTATACAAGTACATAAAGTTAAGGTCTTGGGAAAAAAATATCAGTTTTTAAAAAGTCTGTAATTTTAATTTGGAAAAAGAGTGAGCTCCGTGTAAAGTCCCCATGTTAGCGGTTTCCTGTCCCTTCACCTTGGCCATAACTCCGGCAGGACACATGGTTTCATGGTTATGGCACTGGCACAGTCTAAATGACCTCACGTCCAGCCGCTCCATAGCCACTTGTTCTGCTCCATGTTTTATTGCTGGGGATGCTTTGATTGAGTGATTCTTATAGTTGTTACAGCTAATGTTCTATGTACAAAAGCTGAGATTTCGGGAAGAGCGTTACGGTTGATTTATGGTCTCATAAATCAGACACCAAAGTGCTGGGGAAGGTTAACAGCCTGTGATGGTGGAAATAAACAGGTGCCAGTGATACTTTTCTCTTGGAGCGTTTTGTGTAAATAGGTTGTTTTGTGGTGAGTGGAAGAGAATCGTAGCCTGATGGTTCATTTAATTATGTTTTATGATGACACTCGTCTATGCTTTTAGTAATTGATGAGCTGTGAATGTAAATATTCATACATCATTTTTGAATTATAGAAAGGACATTAAAGCTGCGGTACCTGACTTCATCTTTGTTTCCCAAATCAGGCATTTTTTTGTCCCAACACTATCTTTTGCATAGTTGTTAAAAAAATATTACTAATTTGTATTCTAATCTAAGACACCAGGTAAGTTTTAGCTGACTGGACAGAGGTAGATGTTACATTATTTATTTAGGAAGTTTAATAAGTTTAATAACCGTACTTCTGTATCAGCGAACACGTTAGCAGCACTTGTTTACAGTCACAGGGGAAACTCAGGGGGAAGACACATGTTCACAACCACTGACCCCATTGTCAGCCCTGGTTTGGTCCTGGTTTAGCTCCTGTTTTGGTTGTTTTTGTGTGTCTTTTGGGACCGGCTTGTTTCCCTGTGACCACTTTGCTGCTCTCTGATTGGTTATTGCATGTTTCTGGAGCGAGATTGTTTATCTCCTGCTTTCGACGCATGCATTGAGCCGCCATATCCATCGCTGCTGCGCCGAAAAAAGGCGTCTGCTGCGTCGGACAAAAGTGCACGCCGCAACGTATTATACAATTCCTTGCATGGCGGACGTCACCATTGACTTTGCGTTGAAACTCGCCGCAGCATGATCCGTCAGGTACACAGCTTAAAGGCAGTTACTTTATCCGGGGTTTTGACAGTTTGAACAGAAACATACCGGAAAGCAATGTGCTAAACATTGCTCCCCACACCAAATCGAGACCTGAGCTTCTGGCTATGCTACGTTTAGCGACGCAGCCGACCAGCAACGCATTGAAGTTGAGCACCTCCACCTTTAGCGTCAGCTGCCGGCTTGACGCGCCGTCACGACCCAGAGCAACTTCCCAACTTAGCCTGCTTCACCCACAGCCCTGTGCAGCAGATGTGATAGCTCCCATCTCTGTGTGGAGTGAGAGACAAATGCCCAAAAAATAACAATTGTAAACCGCTTTGTGACTCTGGTCTGTGAAAGGCGGTATATAAATAAAGCTTACTTACTTACTTACTTAGATGTGGATAGAGGAGAGGCAAGGTAGCATAAGTGATTTAATACTGCGCCCCCTACTGTCCATAGGGAGCGCACGTCCGCACACTACGCATACGAGAGAATTATGTGACAGAGGCACAACATAGATGCATGAGAAAAGCAGTGATAGAATCAAACTGTTTTAGAGCCAAGAACTAGTTTGAAAGCCGAGCACTCGATCTTCAAGAAGTGATTCTGTTCCTATAAAGAAGCACCATGTATCCATCTATTTTCTTCCCTTTAATCCATTTGTGGGTTGCAGGGCAGCCATAAGAGCTGCAACCAGTTCACAGCCTGATCTTTCAGCGGGGTTCAGACTTTCCCGTCGTCTAGGAGTTCATGGAGTCGGTCTCTTGGTGAAACCGACTACCGTCAGGTCCGAAGGCCAATGCTCTACTGCACTGAGCCACTGTCACCTCTGAACATTTATTATCGCAACAAAAAAGTAGCAGCAAAGCTAACCTGTCTCCCACAGCTCACGGTTCTTATAGTGGACGAACGATCCAACTCTTGGTGAGTTCAATAAAGAGTCGAAGGATCAAGCACTATGTGCATCAAGTCAAGGTAAGAAACGCACAGAGGAACATTTGTGAGTGCGTCTTTTTTCCGAGCTGAGCCAGTGAGTGTTCTGGAGCTTGTGCTTAGGATTCTTTTCATTTTTATTACACTCTCCTTCATGGATCACTCTCTCAAAGGCGCAGTCCTAGCCGCGATAATGC